TTAATCTTGACCTAAACCGAACTAAAAAACTATTCAATAAACTTGACTGTTATAGGAAAAAAAAGGGAATTTCGTTATCTATCCCATTTTTTTTGGTAGATAAATTGAATGGATTTTTCTCGTTCTGGCTTTTTACTACTCAACTAACACATACACACACACACACAAATAAATATATAATATTAAGTAATACTTGCTATGTATTATAATGACAATAGAAATGTATTCATAATGATTGACTTAAGTGATATGAACACTTACATACACACATACATACATACATACATACATACATAAAAATGTAAATATGTTAAGTATTGAAAACCAGTATCTAACAAATCAATATCAGATAACTATTGTTCAGTAAACTAGATGATCAAGATATTTGAAAAAAAAGAATAAAAAATAAATTTTGTTACCAAGTAGTCGTGAATATTTTAAAGAGATTTATTTAACAGAAGGGTGTTTCGTAGAGATTTCAGTAATATTTTTATAGTTGAAATCATGAGTAAATTGAAGCTAGACCAACATGGAAAACCTGGAAGTACTGGACGGTCGTTTCGTCCTATTGCAGGACTCCTCGGCAGTGAGCATCCACGAACCCGTCTCGCGAGATTTATTTAACTAATATTGAATTTTATTCACATAAAATGTATGAAGTCAACTATAGCGATAGTTCAATAGTAATTCATGATGATATTGGATGTTTGCGACACTATTATATCATAAATTAACTGAAGTTGACAGATGTTGAACTTTAGAATCTTAACAAAATATTTGAAGGGTATCCTGTTCATTGTAATACCGAAGTCGAAATCGTTCACTTTTCTGTCAAGTGTTTATGCATTAATATTTATTAAAAATTCAAGAACAAAATGAAATAAGTGTCTTGGCTTTTGGTTTATGGTAGTTCTCCAGCTGATGTCAATCTGTGGTATAAATTGCATTCGGAAACTTGAGTGTTTTGTGCATTTTTCATCGATAACACTCGCTTACTGATGTTTTTCATTGAATGGAATTGATGAAACATTAGTAGATAGTATTTTAAACCACGAAAATAACTATATAATTATTGGTAAGCAGAGATGGATAGTGGCTAGCAAGGGAATCCAGGACGCGCGTTGATGTTCACTCTGGAACTAAGATGCAGGTACATTCAGCTGATGAGTCCCAAATAGGACGAAACGCGCGTCAAACTGGATTCCACTGCTAGCCACTATCCATCTCTGCTTACCATGTTTGTGAATTAAGGCTATATCGAGGCAATACGCACAGTATGCACATATGCCAATTAGAGACTGACCAGTTGCAGTCCTAACACATCGATGAGAAGACTCAAACAAACAATACTAAATGTATACAAATATTGTTATCTTATGTTTTTAGTAAGTGATTCTGTACTGGAAAAATCTATTTTCAACTCCATTCTACCGTTTCTGTGACCTTTATTAAGGATGCGTTTGATTGTACGCGATTATCAATATCAATTTCATGTTGATTATCATAATTAGTTACTTCCTGTTATGTAATTGTTTTATTCTCTCTATTTAATTGGAAAGCATAATAAACAAATCTCCTTCCTGGCTATGATTTGTTAACATCAACTAAACTCCAATTTTTTTTCAGATTGTTATAATAGTCAGCTGTACTCAATATGTCTGTTTCAATCAGGGATGAATTAATCTTAGTTCTGAATAGATGAAGCAATATCATATTTTACTGCTTCACCAGTCTAAGGATAGTGAGCTCAAACAATGGCCATTTCTTCGGTACGAACCATAATCTGAAAATTTGAGTAATCCCATACTTAGACAAAACAGCTATTCAGTTATTTGAAGTGTTCAACAGTTGTTAAGCTGAGGCTCAAGGATTTTCTTTTGAGACATCTGGTTTAAACGTCAGAAAATTTACGAACTGTAATTAATTGTTGACAAGACAAATCTTAGTGGCTGTATGTTTGTAAAACCAATGCTGATATTAACAACTAATGCTGTCACTGCATATGTATGTGATCGGTCCAATAGACAGATTTAAAGTCATGGAAATAAGACGTAATAACTAGTTATGATTGAAGTCAATTCGTGCTATCGGCCTAGGGAAACAAATAATTATAATAAATGAATAAAATAAAAACAGTCGATAATGGAAAATCAGAAACATACGATGAGTGATGTATTATGTTCTTCTTTCAAGTATATATGAATTCGGTGAAAGTCATAATTAGTAGTAGTAGTAGTAGTAGTAGTAGTAGTAGAAGCGGTAATAGAGATAACAAATCATTATGTTTATCTACTTCAAATATGTTTAAATATAAAGAGCACAGTAGGAAGTCTTAGTTCCCACTTTTTTCTTGATTTTATGTCCTTAAACCTCTGTTTCATTAAGTTATGACTAATCTTTCAACCAAGAAACTTATCAATATGCCAACAAAAAAGTTAAATGTAAATAAGTCTATTTTATATTTTCAAAAAAACAAAACCAAACTAATATCGTGATGTTTTTAAAATCAGTTTTTCTAAAAAAAATCATGAACGCACACTGACCAGAGAACAAATGACGATAATATGAGATAGAATATATGATTCGTCTAGAACTCCATAAGCCAGTAAACTCGGCGGGATACGGTACCGAGTAAACTGTGTAACGATCTCTTAGCGATCATGATTCAGCCTTTTCATAACATACAAATTCACTTCATTGTAAATAGGATGTTTGTATTCAATATTCAATGGTCAATATATAAATCGAAGAGTTGGTAATTTTTTTTACTGACCACATCTCTTTTAAACAAAGCAGAATAATGCGTTCTTGAAATATTCCTTTGAAATTTAAAGCGTTAGACGGCCGTCTCGTCATAGTACAAGACTTCTCAACAGTGTGTATTTACGATTCCACTGGTGGAATTCGAACCCAAGAACTTCGATCTCGCATGCGAATGGTAACTCATTGCATAGCGCATTAGAGTAATCTGGATCCAACTACTAGCGACAACCCATCCTTTTTGGAAGATCTAGTTTATGTAACAACACCGATGACATATTCATAGGTACTTTTATGAATTCGGTGTTCATCTTGTTATGTTAATGGGACATGGCAACTTAAACCGATGCATATATTTGCCTCATCCTACGTTGCAACTGTCTGACTGACATAGCTTAAGCAATAGCTTATAAATCATAGATTTTCTAATTTAATGTTCTGAGTGTGTTATCGCCACAGTGTGAGCATTTTTTTCTTGATCGGTCAAGAATTTTTAACTAAACACTGAGAGATCTATTTGGAAGTCGACCACCACCACTAATTACCACCGTAATATCGTGAATTCGGGATTTTTATGAAGATTTTAGTATGGAAAAAATTAAACGCTTATCATCAAGTAAACATTGGGTAAAGCACCATTTCAACTGTATTCAAACAAGCAATTATTAAAAATAACTTTACAATTAACCAAATAAGTAATTAGGTGAGGGAAAAAAGCAACATAGCATCGAAACTTAACTAATCAAATAAGATCATATGGAAAAATGATTAGACAAACAATGCATTAGTTCATAATTCAGCGATAAATCATTTGTGAATAATTCAGTCTTACAGAAGATCATTCGCAACCTAAACAATTTCGTGGTAAACACTCATGAAGTGAAGACGATTTACGCGTCTTCAAAATTTCACGAGATCGTATAAGCTCACTGCTGAGGAGTCCCACAGTAGGATGAAACGGCCGTCCAGTGCTTCCAGGTTTTTCAAGGTGGTCTAGCTTTAATTGGTTCATGATCTTAACTATTGAAATTACTATAATATCCACAAAACCCCTTCTGATATTAAATAATAGTTTATAAATTAAGAAATAATAAATGTTCATCAATGCTGAAATCAGCTTTCATGTAAAAAATAAATTCACCAATCTTCTAAACTTTCCCGAAAACTATATTATTTTTCATCGAAATCCTGAGTTGATGCACTGAGCGGCCGTTTTGTCTTTGTTTGTTCCGCAATACTGCAGATTGATTAAAATTAAACATTAACACCGTTGAGTATCAACTCCGTGATCTAGAGATTAGGAGTTTGGGTATGAAAGACCAAGGGTCTTGGGTTCGCTCCCCGCATCTGGAGTAATGGGTACTCGTTGCTTAGATGATCCACACTGGGACAAAAACGTTTTCGCAAGGTCTCCAGCTTGACACTGATGGACTAACATTGATCACGTCAGGACCTCAATGAAACTCATGAATCTCCACAACCTTATTCTTATTCGTTGTTTCTTTTCAACTTTGTTACTCTATAAATTTATCTCTTATTGAAAGCTTTTTTGCATTGATATTGATCGTGACAAACATTTCTTAACATCAAAAATAAAAAAATAAAACAAAATGTTTCTTTTCGAATTTTAATTAGGAGCCGAAGTTTTATGAGTTAATTAATTTTCTTAAGAGTATATTGAGCATATGATGCTATAAATCAGTTTTTATTGTTATAGCTTGTGATATTTCTAATACTGCAATATTAAATTATTAGCTGTATACAATAGAATGTTGATTAATCAGCTGTTGTTAATAAATAGTCGAATTCATGATTCGATTAAACCTAGATCATCAATTAAAACCTAGAAGCACTGGATGGCCGTTTCGTCTTAGTACGGGACTCCTCAGCAGAGCGCGTATCCACGATCTCTCATAGGGGATCATTTAAAATCTGAATATTATTTGAGGTAAATCAGATTTATAGATATTTGTTATGAGAAATAGTTGGCTCGTACCTATTCATTCTTCTTTCTCAAGCCATATATATTCATATGTTTATTGTCAATCGAAAAGCAGTGTTTTTATTAGACATTGAGAAACCCATTTACGTAGTTCGTTATCAAATATTGATTTCATTAATTCACAATAAACAAAACATTCTCCCTTACTTTATCAAATATGTCACCAAAACGACATAACTAAATGAACTCAGAATAGAGATCCTTACATAGATCACTCATTGATTATTTATTTATTTACCTTTTTTTGTCGCTTCAAAAGTTCTTCCATACTTCTTGTGGTATAATTTTTTCCAGTTGTCTGTAATCTATTATCATTATGATTTGGTATGTCACGTTGTTGAAACTGTTTAAGTTGTTGTAAGTGGAACTGTTGTTGTGTATGGATCAATGGATTATTATACTTGCAACTGCTAACAGAAGGATTAATTGTATTGATATAATCTAATAAATTCGGTGTGGAATTTATTTTTACTTTATTACTACTATGACCTACTTCATTGTTAATATTAGCGATAATATAACTTTCACTGTTACATTCATGAATGGATTGAGAAGAGGAGGATGATGCATTTCTATTGAAAGTTTTTTGATTTATCGGTTTAAATGCTGTTTCACGTGAAATTGAAAATGGGTGAGATAAATTAGTAGGCATTTGTGCTGATGGTGTTGTTAAGTACATTTTTTTATTATCTGATTGAAATTCACTAAATCCAGATACTGTTGGCGTACTTAATAGATGATGATCAGTATGTGACATAATTATATTCGAATCCAACAATTTTGGATGATATGAATTTTCAAATTGTTTATGTTTTGGCAATCGATCACATGTTTTAAATCGACGATATGATGAATAATAATGTTGTTTTGAAGGTATTGGTTGATAAAAACTAGACGGTTCATCAGAATCAGAATAATTATGTTTTAATTCTGATTGTCCTGAGATAAATTGTAAAGGGTAATGATTATCATACTGATGTGAATCAAATGAGTGCTGTTGTTGAGGATAATTCATTTTTTGTAACGAAGCCAATTGATTATTATTATGTTTTTGCATTCTCAATTTTTGTGCAAAATTCATATCGAAGTTGTAATCAGTTAATTTAGTTATGTATTGTGATGATTGTGATACTTGTCTACCAGATGGTCCACCTGGAGCTGATTCACTGTCAAATATCAATTTACCATTCATTATAGAATATAAAAGATCATTTACATTTCATTCAATTATCTATTCAATGGTAAATTTATTGGCAAAATAGAAAAGTTTATATATTCCACATTTATAAATGCTTATTACAATTATAAAAGTAAACTAAAAAAATGAAATCGAAAAAGGTGATTAATATCTATTTTTACCATTGATTTCTTATTATTTGAAACAAGTGCTAAAAATTATGCCAAATGTGTGTGTGTGTGTTTTACAAACATGCTAATTGGTGATTGGTCAATGATACTTGATCATAGTCATGTACATAAATGACCTTCAATTATTGTCATTTTGATTGGTTAACAAAAAAGTTAAAGTATATCACTCAAGTAATATGATAGTATGGCATGTTTTTCTTTTTCTTGGAATCACTTGAATTATTTTCACTCTTTATTAACTCAAGTGACTATTGTGATTGATAAATAGCAGATATATAAATAAATTTCAACTGATAGGCACAGTCGTAACTAAAAAAAATGAAGAGTTTCCTGGAACTAGATTGATAATTAATGTAATAACATCACAGTATATGTGAAATTGATAAATTTCAAGTATCCTACATTTCATCAACTTCATTCCAGAAAAAAGTATTCAGTCATGTAGCTTAATTATCGTTCAACATTATGCTAAAATAAATCTTACTCCATCTTTTATTTTTGAAAAATTTGTAATTTTATGCTGACATTAGATTGAGAAGTGAACATTAAAAATTAGGTAGGATTAGATAGTTGGTTCACTGCAATTAGTGACTACTGTGAAGTATGCATCCATATTCTCCTAATTTTGTCTTAAGTTATCTGAAAACTTTAGAAAAGTCTTTAAAAGTATCCAAAGCAACCAACAAGTGATTATTGGTTACCAGTTATCCTTCATCGGATGTCAGTTCGTGTTGGGAAAAGTCCATATCACACGAAATTATTACGTCATTATAAGAATATTGGTTAAATGCAATCACTGAATTCAATAAATACGGAAACGTTCAGATGATGTTCAGTCAGTATCCACCTCATCGTTTCTGTCTTGCATAATTTAATCGCTTTGTTGGAGCGATCCGGAAAATTTCTTGCAATAGACAAGAAAAGCTCAGGAAACATTAAGAAGTATTTCACCCAAACAGCGTTTGACTAGAAATTTTGCTAGAAACACCTCGAAAGTAAAAAGTCACATGTAGACTTCTGATTGGTTGATTACTACACCGCTGCTATGTTTAGTAGCATTCTAGAATATTCAGGAAAACCCAAGGACTTCTAAAATACTATAAAAACCCTATATTTTCTGTACATAAAGGAAACTTCCGAGTAAAGTGCTTCTCGCATATTTCGCGCCTTTTCTCTCGTGTTCAAGTCGCTGTGTAGTTCTAGCTTGCGGGTTACGAGATTAGCTTAGGATCCGAGTATAGCGTTCAATGAACAAGACTTATCAGCTCAAAAGTAAGTTTACGCGAAATCGCTACTTAACACATCAATAAGTTGCATTATAACACAATCAGTGACTAATAAGTGTTTTTCAATATGTTGTCATTGTTAATTTTGTTATTGACCATGATTAATTTTCCTTGTCACACTTGCAGAAACACCTTACAACTCAAATGACTTCATAACTTTCAAAAGTCCTAAATGATAGTCTTAGCATGACATTAAAGTATGAACGAACGCGGTGAAAGTTAAAAACTCTGTATGTTCTCTCATTTTCGATAATTGAAATGGAAAATTATGAGATGAATAGAAATGGGAAAAGAGAAGTGATAATGAAAGAGAGAATAGAATGTTTAGATAGAACATAAAAAATATGAGAAACTAAAGTTCTTAGTAGTTAAATAAATATGCCCAATAAAAGTACCTTAATTCAACATGATCCCTTTCAGTACCTCAATAATTCCGTGCTGATATTTCAATTAGCGAAGCTTTGTGACGCGAGCTCGGATCATACAAAGATTGTCAGTTCTCACAATACTCTTGGTTAGGCTTATTGATCAGTACCAACTGTTACAAAATGCAGCCTCAGTGCTTCTTACAAAGAATCTCTAACTACCTGACACTAAAATTTATTTTAAAGTGTGATTTGAACCCGCATCACTTACTATCAGAGCAGTTCATAGAACATTCTATAACGAACTATGACTCCAATTCACCTCAAGATCAAACAAGAGATATTGTGAACTTATTTTCCAAAACTTTACTATTTCACAGACTTATGATTATAACTACCAAAATAATAAAAACAATGATTATATTTTTTAAACGTATTTATTACTTCAATTTTTCAAATTCATCTATCTGTTTTAAACTTCACAAGTTTGACAATAATCATTTTCATTACACACATAGTAATAACAAACAAATAAACAAGCGAACATAATACCACTCAATTCAATGTGTACTTTATTGTTGTTACTGTTGTTGTTGTTGTTATCGGTAAATATTTCCAACAAAATTTCTAAAATTCCTTTCATGTTTATGTTATTAGTTTTTTTTCTTTTTTATAAAAGAAAAAAAATAATAAATCGATAAAATTTTGTTAATCCATAATTCATCCCCCCCCCTCAATTACTCATTTGAATTCTTACACCTACACAATTTTTCATATAAATCAGTAGTAATCAGTAGTATTTTTTATAAATAAATAAATTGAATAGATATATTACATCATTTTTTGAATGAAAAATAAAAAAAATATTATTTTTCAAAAAAACTTTTTTTGGCATTCAGTTAAATCATGAGTTGAACACAAAAAAAAGAAGAAACCACCATTACTTTTGGCTTTCAATTTTCACATACAAAAGCAAAAAAAATTTGAAGAGAGAAAATAAGAACAGAAAAAAACCTGTCAAAAGATTGAAATTTACTTAGTTGATGTTCACTCTTGGACTCGAACCCAGTATCTTTCGCTTCAAACGCCATCGCGTTATTCACTCGGCCACTGAGTTCTGATAGCCACTTGCTTGTGCAATGGGTTGAAGTTGAAATTTACTTAGTATTGTTTGTTTCAATCTTCCCATTGATGTTTTTAGGACTGCAACTGGTCAATCTTCAATCGGCATATGTGCATACTGTGCGTATTACCCCGATATAGCCTTAATTCACAAGCATGGTAAGCAAAGATGGATCTATCTTTGCTTACACGTCCTGGATTCCATTGTTAGCCACTATCCTTCTTTGCTTATCATGTCAAAAGATTATAGAAAAAAAGGCAAAGCTGTCAATAAATATAGAATATACACTAATTTATAAGAACTTTCATCTAAACTAAAGCGAATAGTTTCACAGTAATTTGGGGCCGAATTGATGTAGGTCATTAAATCGGAATAATATTTTTTTGTAAAATCTCAGAGAATGAATTTGAAGTCTGCTACACACTAATACATATACCTAGTTTAAACGTTATTAACATTGGGTGGTGGAAATATACAGTGTACAATGAACCGAAGAACCATGTAACTATTTATATTCGATGATTTTGATGTTTGATTATAATTCCTTGAAAAATCATGGACCAGACTGACAAGCGAAAAGTTGGATTTACTTCCAATTCATTCGCTGAGATTTTACAAATATATTATTCCTATTTAATATACACTAATTGTTCAGTATTTCATTCGAATAAAACTGAATGTATTAAGATTTAATGATTCATCAATCAGTTTTTGTATGAAACACTGAAATCTTAAAAGAAATTGTATCATTGTATCAATATTATGCTGTTTGTAAGATTATACTACTTAGTAATATGTTAACAGTTACTTACCTACTAACTTATGCCTAATACTCCCAATGTAGCATAGGTCACCGACCAGCATTCTACAAAACCCATTCTTTCTTGGACCTTGTTTTCTAGTTCTATCCAACTTTTGTTCATTCTTCTCATGTCTATCTCCATTTCTCGACGTAAAGTGTTCTTTGGTCTTCCTATTTTCCTTCGACCTTCAGGACTACATGTGAGAGTTTGTCTTGTGACGCAGTTTGGTGATTTCCTCATTGTGTGTTCTATCCACTTCCAGCGCTTCTTCCTAATTTCTTGATCCTCTGGAATCTGGTTTGTTCTCTCCCACAGTAGATTGTTGCTGATAGTATGTGGACAACGGATTCGAAGTATCTTGCCTAGACATCTGTTAATATACACCTGTATCGTGTGGATGATGGCCTTCGTAGTTCTCTAAGTTTCAGCCTCATACAGTAGAACTGTCTTGACATTTGTATTGTAAATTCTGATATTTTAATAGAACAATAAATTATTGATGATTTCTCGAACAGTTTGTTATAGTTTCTAAGATTCGATACATCATAATGGTCTTGTGTTCAGTCTCTCTTGATGTTATAGAATCACGCTATTGAGTTGTTAAGTATCAGTGAAATAGTAGTTGTTATTTCTAAACTGGATTAATCTCTTAATAAAATAACTATCTAAACAACAGTCATAGGTGTTTAAATGAAATCTTGAAATTTTTGTGAGAATTCCTAACTACCGGTGAATCGTAGGGGTTGCTGATTGAATTGAGTGTTCATTAGGCGATATAGACATCTAAATAAAGTTGACAATACAGTTAATTAGATCTTAAAGCAGTACTCTAATCATACAATGTTCACTAGAATACTTGTATCTTTTCAATTCTTATCAGTGTAAAGATATCAGTACATTTTTCATCGAAGTCATTAGCTAATAGAAAACAGCTATTTACTGATTCTCTTCGTGAATAAATGAAATTTGATAGAATTACGTTGTATTTTACCCTCTTTTCTCCAGTTTTATGATTTTACCGTTTGGTCTTCTATGCAAATATGTGCCCATGTACGGTTGTTTTTCTATGTGTTAACTGTAATTATTTCATTTTTTCCAACATGATTCTTTTCCATGGAACCTTGATTTATGATATTAATCTCCTTTATTATAATCATTAACCCATTAATTGTCTTGATTGGTCTAATAATTTTGTTTTCATACACCATACAAATATTATCGTAAATTAGAGTAAAGTTTGGTAAAGATATAGATGAAAATGGTCTTGTACCAACTATTACACCTTGATCAAGGAATCGCATTTTGCTTTGCACGCAAATCATGATCAATCAGTAAGATTAATGATTAAAAAAACAAACTGAAAATGATGATAATGAAAATCTGTCACTTTTGTTTTCGACTAAAATGTTTTATTACTCATGAATTCACTTTATGACTAGTATCATTAATAAGACTAA